GGCTTGTCCAAGGAGGTACACAGTGACAGATCCTGATGAGTGGAAGGAGTACTTTTATTTATGAGCAGGAGCATTGGCAGAGCCAGGGGATGGCCAACGGCAGCCTTGGTCTCCATAGATCATGGGTGCCCAGACTTTTTCAGCATGCGAGCTACTTTTAAAATGACCGAGTCAAAGCGATCTACCTGCTATAAGGGCCTGTTTACATGAGAATAACCTCTTATCTAACCTCACGTTAGTGTTTTTTTCAATGCTCATTGGGGTTAATAAACAAAAAATGAGTGGGTTTACATGAACACGCTAGTTTCCATGTCAGTCAGGTTGCCAGATAAGCAATTATGAACTATAATACTGTGGATTTAAAATTAAAGTGTTTTGACCTAAACTCTCATATGAGCTGAGTAAAGATATTCTAATATGATGTGTGTGTTGTGTTTGTTGAACATGTGCACAGAAAAGGAGGGGGTAAATAAGACATTTTAAATTTATTTGGCAACCCTGATGCCAAGCTCAGCTGCATCAGTTACATCCAAACTGATTAACATATTAACGTCTCTTTGGATCCTGGATTTTATTAATTTTGCTCCTACATGCTGAAAAAGGATGAGCAGCACAAAAACATTCTGCTCTCTGCCATTTATTAGAACTGTTGTTAGAACAGAAAAACTTAGGACTGCGGCCAACTGTAGTGCGCATGTGCAACTTCACTTGCGGAGCATTTCCACACCTCTGTGGGGGATTCCGGACAAACTGCAACAGAAAGGCTGCGGTTTCACGCCGTTTAAATGGGGCCTCAGACTGGCTGCCCTGTCAATCACGTGACACATTTCATAGTCAAGATGGATGATAGGCTGACATCTATTTTTTAATATCATGCGATCTAACCATAATATCTGTGCGTTCGACCAGTAGATCACAATCGAGGTATTGGGCACCCATGCTGTAGATTAATCCACAGCACCAGCTGGACTAATCATTTGAGAGAACTATATATTTAAGTAATATAAACACTAAAATGCATAGTCTACTCAACTGATAGGGGTAGCTGGTTTAAATATGCAAACCGGATTCCAAAAAAGTTGGGACACGAAACAAATTGTGAATAAAAACTGAATGCAATCATGTGGAGATGGCAAATGTCAATATTTTATTTGTAATTTAACATAGATGACAGATCAAAAGTGTAATCTGAGTAAATGTAACATTTTAAAGGAAAAACATGTTGATTCAAAATTTCAGTGTCAACAAATCCCAAAAAAGTTGGGACAAGTAGCAATAAGTGGCTGGAAAAAGGAAATTGAGCATATAACGAACAGCTGGAAGACCAATTAACACTAATTAGGTCAATTGACAACATGATTGGGTATAAAAAGAGCTTCTCAGAGTGTCAGTGTCTCTCAGAAGCCAAGATGGTAAGAGGATCACCAATTCCACCATTGTTGCACAGAAAGATAGTGCAACAATACCAGAAAGGTGTTACCCAGCGTAAAATAGCAGACTTTTAAGTTATCATCATCAACCGTGCATAACATCATCAAAAGATTCAGAGAATCTGGAACAATCGCTGTGCGTAAGGATCAAGGCCGTAAAACTCTACTGGATGCTCGTGATCTCCGGGCCCTTAAACGTCACTGCACCTCAAACAGGAATGCCACTGTCAAGGAAATAACAGAATGGGCTCAGGAATACTTCCAGAAAGCATCGTCAGTGAACACAAT